TGACCCCATTTTGTTTGTCGAATTTCCTGAAGAAGGAGGACGGCCAGGCCACTTCCAGTTTTGTTCTTCTCCTGCTCTTATACATGATGCTCCTGAGAACAGTTTTGGTCGGGCCCCTGGGGCACGCCAGCAAGGACAGCCTATGTATAGGGGTGAGACGGCAGGGTCACCGGGCCTACCTGTGGCGCCTTTTCCTCGCCGGGCAGAAGCCGTGGTGCCTGTTTACGGTGAAGTTCCCCAGGGGAGGCGGTTCTTTTCGGGATCAGCGTTGGGCTTAGGAAGGGGCTGAGTGCTGACTCACCGGTGAGCCCTGAGAATCACCGTGGGAAGCACCTGCCACTCGGTGTAGTGACTCACGTGGCCAGGCGCAGAGCGGCGCACACACTTGGTGGTTTATCTGCACAGCTGAGCTCTGGGGTCGGAAACGCCCAGATGCTGACTGACATCCCAGGTCACCGATCCTCCTCCAGCCCAGAGGAAAGTCGAGGTGATCATGCCCGGGCGGGAGGCTTGGCGTCTCGGCTGGAGCACATGGGTCTGGGGCAACCTCAGGTGCGTGTCCTCCTGGGGCCGAATCTGCAGTGGCCAGCCTTGGATTCAAGGCCAGACAAGGGCAGCGAGGTCCTGGTTGGCATTCCGCCTCTCCCCGGCTTCTTCCTTCTCCCCCTTCTTCCACCCGTATTTATACGTTCCTTCTTTTAAATGGTGGATTTTGTAATACATTCAGAGTGTAAAATTCAAAGTCTCACATTCTGTAAGGAAAGAGTCCAGCCCCCTTCCTGACATGCATTTGCCCATCCCCACTCTGAAAGGCAGCCACGCTTTTATTTATGTTATTTGATTTTCCCATCACCATTCATCACCTCCGTGTCCTCTTCCACCTCCACCACCTATCCCCCTTCACCCACTCCCACCCCCGCAATCATCACACTCATGTTGTCCATGAGTTAGTTCTCTCTCTCATTTTCCTTTTTGCTCAAACCCTCCATTCTCCCCTCCAACTCCCACCTGAGCTGTGTGTCTGCTCTCTATCTATGAGTCTGTCTCTATTTTGCTTGGTAGTTCAATTTATCCATTAGATCCCACTTATGAGTGAAGCCATATGGTACTTGTCTTCCTCTGACTGGCTTATTTCACTTAGCGTCATGCTCTCCAGGTCCCTCCATGCTGTTGCAAAGGGTAAGATTTTCTTCCTTTTTATGGACGAGTGGTATTCCATGGTGTACATGTATCACAGCTGTTTTATCCGCTCACCTACTGATGGACATTGTGCTTCCAAATCTTGGCCATTGTAAATAACCCCCAATGAACATAAGGGTGCATATATTCTTTTAAATTAGTGTTTCGAGTTCCTTCGGATAAATTCCTGGAAGTGGAATCACTGGGAGGGCAACCACTTTTATTTCTTTCTTATGCAGCTTCCTAGAGTTTTCTTTATGTAGCACTGAATGTGAGGGGAAGTCTCTTATTATAGAAAAGATAATACATTATACACAGGGTTCTGCTACTGCCTTTTCACATAACAGCGCCTCTCAGACATCTGCCTGTTCCATGTCATTGCACAGAACATTTCATCATTCTGTTATACTCCACAATATTTATCATCTACTAGGCACCAGCCTAGTTAAAATAAATCAAAAGAGACCCTGCTTTCAGGGAGACTAGCCTTGGGGCAAACAGACAAACGATTATGATGAAGTATTGCAAGTGCTCTTCTTTCTGAAAACATGTATTGAGTGCCAACTGCTGCCAGGCGTTGCTCTGGGCACAGGGGAGTCATGGTGGTGGAAATCCCTGTCCCAGGGCACTGAGATAATGGGGCTGAGGGGCCCCTCACCTGGTCTGGACCTCAGGGAAGCCTGGTAACTAACAGCTAAGGTGGGATTAACCAGAGGGAGGGCCAGAGACGGGACAGAGGCCCCCTGCTGGCCACAGGAAGGGAGGGGGGTGGAGAGGCCTCCAGCTTCTTGGGGACTAAGGGGGTTCCCACATCTGTAGCAGGAGGAGGCTGCGGCCAGAGCTGAGGCCTGAAGCATGTGACGGCCAGTGGACCACAGGAAGGATTTATGCTGGTGGACGGCGCTGGGATGGGTGCCGGGTAGGGTGCTGGGAAAGGTGAGAGGAGGCAGGAGGCCCGCGGGAGGCAGTGTGGTAGGGGTGCTGCTCGCCTGGCCCCAGGAGCAGACATAGAGAGAGGCTGTGGATGGGAGAGGGTGTGGACGGATGTGGGCAGGACCTGGTGAGCTGTGAGGGCAGGGAGAGGGGCCTCAGTCTTCTCCTCGGAAAGATGGGCTCATGCCCTCCTCGGGTGCTGGGCTGGGGACTCACTGAACAAGGAAGGCTCTCAGCGGTGCTCCTGCCCCACCCCGGCCCTCACACCCCTTTGCCCACCTTTTGTCCCCAAGCCTATGAGCGCATTTATAATTTTTGGAACTTTAACAAGGGAAATCTACTGTCACCTCCTATGTCCTTACTCCTCTTAGCACCACACACACACAACACACTACATGCACTGCCCCCCCAACACATCATACACATACACAAACACCTGCTCACAAACATACCACATAGTACATCCAACCCCCACACAAACATAGCACATACTCTACACACCCCCACATACTACACACCAACTACCTCCACATACCCCCCCACACTACACCCCCTGACACAAACACTGAATATACTATACACACACATCCATACTACACACCACACTACCTACCTCCCCACTACACATACTATGCACCCCCCCCCAAACAAACACACCCCACACCACACACACATAAACTGCACACACAAACGCCTTATACCTCACAGACACACACAGAGGCCTGGTGCAGGTCAACACCGCCTGCTTGAACTAGGCTTCCCACTTAGCCTGGTCCTCTTCCTCCCCAGACCCCACTTTGCAGTGGTTGGCACATGGCGGCTCTTTGGCCGCTTGAGTGTGGCTCTTCCACAAAATACCATGGCCCGGGAGAGTCTATTTTGAAGAACTGGCGTTAGAAGAAGTTTAAGTTTAAAACATTTGGCTCTTAAAAGAAACTTCAATCGTTGTCTTGTTGATATTGGGCTCTGGTGGCTAAGGAGTTTGTCGACCACTGTAGAGGCATCGTGAGGCATGTCCTCATGTCAGTCCTCCGTCCCAGCTTTTAGGGTGGTGCTGCCTGCATGGCTGTTCCGTGGCCCTGCTGGACTGTGTGTGCACTCCTGGCAACACAATGGCTTCAAGGGGCTGCCCACTTGCCTGCCTCTGCTTGGGGCTGCCTGGGCCGAGGGATGGGTGGCAAGGGAGCTTCAAACAACAGAAAAAGTCAGCATTTCCCCAACGCCCCCCTGCCCCAAGGCATGTGGCCCAGCCTAGCCAACCCAGGTTTATCTGGTGATTGATTGGTTTTGTTTTTTCCTTAAGCCTCAAGGGCGTGTACCATGCAGAACCAGCCTGGATCGTCTTTATTATTTACGAGAGGCCCAGTGCATGGATTCGTGCACCAGTGGGGTCCCTGGGCTTGGCCTGTGGGGATAGGGCTGAAATTGGCTTTCCCACATCCCCTGAGGGGTTCCAGATTGCGAGAGGGCAGTTCTCAGGTGACAAATCGGGCTCCCTCCTCTCTAGCTCTGGGTGTGTCACCCAAGAACTGCAGATGCCAAGTCACCGCAGCTCCCCAGTTCCTGTGTTGAGCGCCAGCCCCCTGGTGGTCAGTGTGCATCATAGCTACCAATTGGCCAGTTGAATGGTTGGCCAGTTGGCAGGTTGCTTAGGCATATATAGGGGTCCCTCAGCCTGGCCTGCACCCTCTCCAATCTGGGATCCTCTCACAATCCAGAACCACTGGCTCCTAAGTACTCACTGCTTGCTTGAAGCCCATAACTGCTCTCCTGCCTGCCTGATGGCCCTAACTACTCTCCCCTCCTGGTCTGAACCCCCTAACTGCCTATGTGCTCTCCCTTCCTCTCCCCACCTTCGGACCCCAGTGCAGGAGTGCTGAGAGCTCTCTGCTGGGACCCTGCCCCCATCCTGATGCCCCCATCTGGGCAGGACGGTGCCGCAGCCCTGCACATGCCTTTGCATGGGGGGAGGGGGCTGCCCCTTGCAGGAGCCTCATGTCCCGGTGGCATAAGTCCCCGCCCCCACCCACCAGCTCCTGTGCATACGCAGCCTGGTCGTGACTGTGACACCGTTAGGACCAATTAGCATATTATTATGTAGACAGATTAGTTCCTGGAGCTGCCCCTCCGAGCAGGGCTCTGGTGGGCACCAGAGCAGCCTGGGTCAGAGCAGTCTTGCTCACCTGGGTCCTCTTCTCCGAAGGGGTGGTGATGAAGGGGCCCAGGTAATGCTGTCTCTCCCCCCTGCCACCCCATTCAGGCCCGAGTGGGCTGCCCTCGGCAGGAGTCCCCACCTGCTGCCTCTGTCTACCCCCCTGAGGGCCTGTCTCAGACCCAGAGGTGGGGGTGGGGTGGGGGTGGGAGCAGTCTGCAGTCTGTCAGCTCAGCTCCCTCTGCCTTATGGATTGGTCAGCGTGCCCTCTAGTCATAAGAGGAGGGATGCTGTGGGCCCTCCGACCCCCACTACTCCCCCCGCCCCCCTCATGGAAGATTCTATCTGTGGTTTGGGCCTCGGGTGGAATCTCCACATGGCTCTTGCAAAGATAGATTCTAATCTACAAGTCTGCAGCCCAGCTGGGCTGGCCAGAGCTCTATCATCCCGGAGGCAGGAAAACCTGGCCGCTCACTCCCGACGGCTTTATTGGGTGTGCGGCCTGCACCCAGAAGGCCCCTGTGCTTAGCTTAATGGCCCACTGTTGCTGTCTTGAAATCCTTAATAACTTTTGAATAAGGAGCCGGCATTTTCATTGGGCACAGGGTCCCACCGGTTACATAGCTGGTCCTGCTTACTTCCTGTTGTCCTCCCTCTAGTAGCTTTTGAATTTTGAACTATGGAGACTTATCTTTTCTATTTCATAACTAAACCCCCCTAAGGATAAAACCGGGGGACACATTTATTATTTGTTGTACACATTCAGAAACGGTCCACGTGTCTTTTGTGGTGCCTGAGCTGCTGCACACACTCCCACACTCCATACCTCCAGCCCACAGCCCCTCTGACCCCCAGGAGAGCCGAGTGGGGTGCAGAATGCCAGCCCGGGAAAGACACGGACACAGCTGGGCTCCAGGCCACTGGCCCCCATGCTGGGTCCATGCTACTGCCCGGGACAAGCCAGTTTTTACTCCACAGCTGGGGAGGGGAGCAGGGGCTCCTGACTCTCTCTCTGACTGCCCCCACTCCCTACCTTTTCAGGGTCAGGGGACACTGAAAAGTCATGGACTAAGGTCGCCAGCTCTGCTTGCAGCGCAGGAAGGATACTTCTGTGTAGACAGGAGACTTCTGTGGCCAGGAGGCCATCTTGGCCACCTCCTTGGAGAGAGCGCTGTCTACTCTCTGCAGCCAGAAGAAAGATGATGGCCTTAGACTCCGTAGAGACAGAGAATCCATGAGCTCTTGAGGCCCCTCATTCTAACATTTGTCACTGATGGGGGCTTCTTGCTTGAATCACTGAGGTTGCAGCTTTGCCCACTTCTTACTAAGCTTAGGAAACTGGGCTTCTCCTGCCCCCCGGAATCCCTGACCTACCCAGAGCCCGCTCTTCAAGCGTCTTTGGAGCATCTCCTTTCCGCTCAGCCCGAACGAGAGGGCACTGCTGCCCCCTGGTGGCCAGTCAGCAGCGGCTCAAGGAGCCACCCAGGAGGCGGGGCTCCCTTCCCCGGCCCAGGGACAGCAGCTCTGAGTGCTCAGGTAAATGAATGTCCTTCCTCTGTTCCTAGAACACAGCAAGCTCATCCTCACCTGGGGCCTTGGCCCTTGCTGCTCTCTCTCCGGAATGTTCTCCTTCCAGATCTCAGGTGGCAGCCCCTTTCTCATTCTCTGGCCCTCAGGCCAAATTTTACCTCCTCAGGCAGGGAAGTCCTCCTGGACCCGCTGCTCTGTGTCAATTCTCTGTCTATTGCCCCTCGCCCTCTGGAATCCTAGTAAGTTTCCTGTGTTACTGGATCTCCGTGCATCATAGGTAGTAGAGAGTCAAAACGACTTGTTGAAGGAATAAATAAATGCATGTCAACAAGAGTGACTGCGGTTTAGGCGGCGCTCTGGTCCTCAAAACCACACCCTGATGTGGGTGGGGCACATACTACCCCATTTGACAGATGAATAGGCTGAGGCTCAGAGAGACTTATGGGAGTTGCCTGAGTACCCAACAAGGGGGGGATGAGCCTGTCCCTGGTGGCTTTTCCTGGGCTCCTCAGTCCAATACTCTCAAGGGGACGGAGGGCATCCCGGGCCTGGACAGCTGTGCAGCGGGATGAGGCGGGCCCCTATGTGAGGCCCAGACCGTCACTTCCTGGCCCTGGCTCCTGTGGGGGGCTGCGTTGCACCCTGTCCGGAGCTGAGCGGTGGCCCTGTGGGTGGCGGTGGCATCGGAGTCCACAGGGCTCCCGGACAGTGGCCCGTCTGTTTGCAGAGATGAGCGTCTGGAGCAGGAGCATGTGTGTGTGTGGGGGGGGGGGGGGGGGCAGCGGGCAGGAAAGCTGAGCCAGCGAGGAAATGGTGCCGCCTCCAGGCCAGGGTTTCACGGTGACATAGAGTCGCATGAGGACTCCCAGGACCCAGCCCTGCGCTCACTTCTCTCAGCTCAGCCCGAGGGAGGGGCCGCCCTCTGACTCTGGGCCCAGCACAGACACAAGGCACAGGGCTCTGCCACAGCCCACGGGCCAAGCCGGGGCGAGCGGTGCAGCCGTTGGAGACCAGGATGACCGGGCCCAGGGCACGCTGAGCCTCTGGTGTCCAGAGAGGGAGGCTGGAGGTCAGCAGCATCTTCTCCTGGTCTGGTCCTCGGGCGAGAGCTTGATGGAGTCTGTGAGGTAATTCTCTGTGTTCCGATACTGTGGAGGGAGGAGAGGAGTCAGGTCCACCTCTGAGCGGCAGTGAGCACCACTTGCCCCGTCTCCTGGCCGCCGATGCTGCTGGCTCTCTGTTCCCTCCCTCGGTGCTGCTAGGAAACTGGGGCCCCTGGTCTCCCCCACCCCCTTCCTTCCTCACCTCCTCCAGAGCCCAGGGGGAGTGGGTGGCTGGTCAGGGACCAGGTGTCCTGACCTCTAAGCAGGCCCCTTAACTTCCCATTCTCTGCAGGGGCAGCCGAGGTGACGTCTGGCCTCAGCAGAGATGATGGCAGCCTGCCCTTAGCCTCCTTTCTGCCGAGACCTCTCCCCATGAACATCCCTATACCCCAACCTTCTCTCACCACCGCCACCTCCCACTCTCTGTCAACCCCACTCTTTCGTGTCCAGGGAGGCTCCGGACACACTCATGGCCTGTCTGCCTCCACCTCCCATCTCCTGTCCCAACACAGCCCAGAGGACACCCTGCTCACCCTTTCTAACCCCCCTTACCCCCCCCCCCCCCCCCCGCTGGCCACTGCTCACATGGGACTTGCCCACCTGGCTCAGGAGCCAGGGTGGGTGTGGGGGGGTCTTCCTAGGACATGGTTCCACATGTAGAGAGGTTCCTTCTTAAAGGGACTCTATGCCCATCCCCATTGTGCCGCTGCTTTCAGTCACTGCATCTCTCCACAGCTGATAGGCGTGTGCACGAGGGCGGGATGGGTGACCTCGCCCCGTGTGCAGCTGTGGCCCTGAGAAGGGCGGGCAGAGCCTCCGGAGTGACAGGTGACACCATGCTTGGTGGTGTGTCCCCAGTGCCCCTCTCTGAGGGGACAACTTTGAGAACCCTGATTTTCCCTCTTCCATGGCTCCCGGGCTCTGGTTGGGTGCCCAGCTGGTGAACGTCAACCAAACCCTAATGCCCTGGACCCTGGACCCCAGGAGGTGGTGTCAGGCTCACCTGCTGCACCCTGATGATGGTGACACACGAGGCGGTCCCCTGATGCCCTGTCACTTGCTGTCACCCCCAGACTGAGTAATTTACTCCTGCAGGTTTGGTATTCCACCTGGACAAATAGTTGGCAGCAGAGGGCGTCTCTCCCACCAAGGAGGATTGGACTAATCACATCTCAAAACTCTTACTAATTAGAATCTCCAGGGGTGGGGTACAGGATGGCATTTCCCCCCCTCTTTTTAGAAACTCCACAGATGACTTTGATATCAGCCAGATGGAGGGGCCTCAGACTAGACACTCTAAAGCAGCTTTGTGCCTTTGGCATCCTGTGGTCCCAGAGTTGGAGGTCTATGGAGCCCATTCAGCAACTCATTAAGTCGGTGAGCAATCCTGCCCGCCTACATCCCTACCCGTGTCCAATATGTTCTTTTCTGGAAGCTCCCAAGTTCCCCCATCCTAGGGGGCCGCCCGGCCAACTGCGGCCTCCACAGCCACTCACCCTGGACAGGGCTCGGCTGGCCAGCATCTCGAAGGCTTGTACCACGTTGATGTCATTCTTGGCGCTGACTTCAAAGTAGGGAATATTCTTCTCTTTACACCAGTCCTGGGCTACCTCCTGTGGCACCTGAATGGCCGGGAGAAAGGATCACTGTTTCTGTAGCATCATCCCCACCATCCCTCCCTCCATTGCCACTTACTGAGACCCTTCCAAGGGCCTGTAACGTTACACATGCTATTTCTTAACATAAGTGCGAGATGGCTATTGCTAGTGTCATTTTCCAGATGAGGAAACTGAGGACTAGAGAATAAAAGAATTTTCCCTGAGCATTGGGGCTGAGCAGGATTTGAACACAGGCTTGGCCGAAATAGAGGCCCCGAGGGCTGTGCTGCCTTCCGAAGGCCTACACAAGGGGCGTCTTCCTGCCATCGGTTCCTTCTCCAGTCCCTTCCAAAGGAGATGGACATGAGGGACACTGGCAGGGATGGAGGACTCTCTTCCCATGAGCTGGCTGAGCCAAGGGGCCTGTTGCTGGGCAGAGACTCAGGTCCCTGCTAACCCTGTTTTCCAGGGTACAGTCCTAGGAACAGTTGATGAGCTCCTACTGTGGACCAGGCACTGTGTTAGATATCTTGACATAATTGTTAAATTCTCAATAACCCTGTAAGACAGGTCCTATTAGCTCTACTTTAGAGACAAGAACACTGATCCCGCGGCAGTCTGGCTCAATGGATAGAACGTTGGCCTGCAGACTGAAGAGTCCTGGGTTTGATTTCAGTCAAGGGCACATGCCCTGGTTTCAGGCTCCATCCCCAGTAGGGGGTGTGCAGGAGGTAGCCAACCAATGATTCTCTCTCATCATTGATGTTTCTATCTCTCTCTCCCTCTCCCTTCCTTTCTGAAATCAATAACATATTTTAAAAAATAGAGATAAGAACATTGAGGCTCAGAGAGGTTCAGCAACTTGCCTCAGATCACACAGCTGAGAAAGGCTGGGTTCAGGAGTCCTAGCACAGTGCTCCCCTGACATCTGAGCCTCCCCCCCCCACCCCCCCCCAATGCAGAATGTTGCTGCTTTTCTGTCGCTCCTGTTGGACTGCAGGTGTTTTGAGTTCAGGGTCAGGGCCTTTTCAGCCCTCAGCCTGGTGCGTGAGCCACGCAGGGCAGTGAATGAGTACAACACTGCTTGCGTGCCAATGGCTGGTCCCACTTAGACTTCTAAGTCTTAGAGGGTCTGGGTTGGAAAAGGTCTGGCAGCATTGCAGGTGACTTCCAAGGACATTGGTGCCACTGCGTTTCATGTCTCATGCTTTCGGGAAGGAGGAAGTGGCCATCTACCAAACATTTGCTGCACCTGGGACTTTATTTTTTATTTTTAAAATATATTTTATTGATTTTGTACAGAGAGGAAGGGAGAGAGGTAGAGAGCTAGAAACATCGATGAGAGAGAGTCATCGATCAGCTGCCTCTTGCACACCCCCTACTGGAGATATGCCCGCAACCAAGGTACATGCCCTTGACCGGAATCGAACCCGGGTCCCTTCAGTCCCCAAGCCGACGCTCTATCCATTGAGCCAAACCGGTCTCAGCTGCACCTGGGACTTTATAACCATTATTTCATCTTATTTAAGGCAGCCAGGCTTTTCTCATGGAGAGAGGGCCTTGTGTCTGCTCCCAGAGCACAGAGCAGCGGGGGGGAAAGGTGGGAGACTGCCCCCAGCAGGTTGCCTCCCTGGCTCCTGCAGGTCCTGGGAATTTATCTTCCTGAGATGAAAGGTCCCACTGCTGTTCCTTTCTCTGCTGTTCCTTTCTCTTAGGTCTTTGCTTTTCTGGTCTCAGGAGTGGCCTCAGGGCTCAGGGCTCATGGCTCTCTTTCACATGCCTCGCCTGTCCCCCAGCATTGCCCTGGCATTGTGAGGGTTGCTACCTCGCATTGCAGGGTGAAGACTGGGGTCAGCCAAGCAGCCTGCCCTTCGGGGAGCCCAGATGACACCTCTACCTCCCGGGGGCAGGCTCTGCTCCCAGTTGCTGCTGAACTTGAGCAGAGCAAGAAGAAACCTAAGGCCCTGGTCTTGGGCCCTGATCAACACGATGCTCCTGCCTTTGGGAATAGGGGCCCCAGTAGTGGCCTGGAGCACGCGTGCCCCATTCGGTGGAGCATAGATGCCCACGAACGGGTGAGTCACTAAGAAGCCTCACATCTCGGGGAAAATCTGGAATTGTATTTGGGGGAAGAAGCAGGGATGGCCGGGCTGCTGGTTACTATTGTCCTCATGAGTGACATGCAAATCAACACTCATTTGAAATTAACAAGTTATACCTGGATGGCATTTTAGTAACACAAAGGGCTTTGTATCTTTTTAAAAAATGTACTATTGATTTTCTTCTTTTAGAGAGAGAGGACGGGAGAGGGATAGGGAAATAGAAACACTGATGAGAGAGAAACATCATCCATCAGCTGCCTCCTGCATATCCCCTACTGGGGATCAAACCAGAAACCCAGACATGTGACCTGACCCTGGGAATCGAATCAGTGACCTCCTGGTTCATGGGTTGCTGTTCAACCACTAATCCACACTGGCTGGGCCAGGCCTTGTGTCTTTTAAAGCCCTTGAGGGCGCCCTAACCGGTTTGGCTCAGTGGATAGAGCACCAGCCTGCGAACTGAAAGGTCCCAGGTTCCATTCCGGTCAAGGGCATGTACCTTGGTTGCGTGCACAACCCCAGTAGGGGGTGTGCAGGAAGCAGTTGATTGATGTTTCTCTCTTATCGATGTTTCTAACTCTCTGTCCCTCTCCCTTCCTCTCTGTAAAAACTCAATAAAATATATTAAATAAATAAATAAAGTCCTTGAGGGCAAGGATTGCCCTTTCCCTTCTGATTGCTCCTTCCTTGTTTATCTCCCACCCCTGCCCCGCCCACCAGCCCTCCAGCCCCACCAGGTGATGAGTATTTTCCTGGGCCGTCATTGGCACTCAGGAGCTGCAGAAGAAATTGAAGGGAGGTGCAATTAAGTCACATGCCCCTGCCTTCTGGAGTCTTTCTTTTTAGTGGCACAAGAGGCAGAAGCCAGGATTGGTGCCCAAGGTCACCCAGGGTCAGTGCTGGGAAGACAAGTTTGCAGCTCTAGCTGGCTAATTTCAGCTGCCCCTACTCTCTTGCTGGACAGTGATGGGACTATGGCAGGTATTTTATTTCATTCTCTACACTCTTTCTCTGTTCTGTTTACATGCAGTGATGAAATACACAGCTCCAAAATAGCAGTGGGGATTGTGTTGCAAATGAATCTTCTCTTTCTATTCCTAGCATCTCTCCATTGAACCTTGGAAAGCTGGCCTGGGAAGAAAGCAACCAGACACTACTTTTTACTTTCCTCTTCCACGCCCACCTGCAGTTTCATGATTTTTAAAACCGTCTTGTATTTTATTTATAAAATAATGGCTATTTATAACTTAGACTCTGACTGTGGAAATAGACTCAGGGTGTGATACTTGGGGATAGGAGAAGTAAGCAAGTTTTAGAAATGTTACTTCTATTAATTTTGCCTCTGGCTGACAATATACTACTAACATTTTACTGCTCCTCTTCACCCAAGGATCTGTTTTTATTGATGAGAGAGAGAGAGAGAGAGAGAGAGAGAGAGAGAGAGAGAGAGAGAGAGAGAGAGAGAGAGAGAGAGAGAGAGAGAGAGAGAGAGAGAGAGAGAGAGAGAGAGAGAGAGAGAAACATTGATTGGTTGCCTCCCATACATGCCCCAATTGGGGATTGAACCCCAAACTGGGCATGTGCCCTGACCAGGAATGGAACCTACAGCCCTTCAGTGTATGGGATGACACTTCAACCAATGGAATCACACCGGCCAGGGCTCCTATTGCAATTTTGATGGTTCATCAGAGGCCAAAAGTTTGACAAAATTAGTCCAACTTATGTAATTTTATTTGTGCTACTTTCCCATCTTATATAAATTTTAAATAATCAATTATATGTGTTAAAATTAGTGTGTCAAATACATCTTAAACTACCAAAAATAACCAATATTTTCAGAAAACATAATTCCAACATTATGCCTAGGGGAAAGTCAGAAAGTGCCTACATGGACTTAGAGCAAAGAATCCACAAGCTAGTGAAGAAATTCCTTGTAGCATAGATGCTAGCAGAACTATTCTTTTAAACAACCTAACGTTTTTTTCCCCTCGAGGGCCTTCTGCAGAAAGAGTAGGGATTTGAAAAAAATGTAGGCCAATAATTTCTTTTAAATCATTCTGCCAATATATATATTTTATTGTGGTAAAATACATATAAAATTTTCAATTTCAACAATATGTAAGTACGCAGTTCAAGGACATTGAGTTCAGTGCAACTGTCACCCCCTTCCATCTCCAGAACTTTTCCTTCATCTCAAATCTTAGCAATAGAGGTTTAAGTATCTATTTTCTTTTTACTGAGTAGGAGAGGCTCCCGTGTTTACCCAGCCTGTGCCTTGGAGATAATAAGGAGGATAAGCCTCGATCCCGTTTATTAAGCTTGCCTCATGTTTTATAGGCATCATTTCCTTTAATCCTCAAACAACCTCAAGAACTCTGTGTCTGGCCCCCATTTCACAGATGAAAAAGCTGGAACGGACTAACCACATGTCCCAGAGATGGGATGGGGCTTGCCCGGGGCTTTACTGCTTCTTTCAAGCCTTCATCTTCCTCTCTCGGTAGCTCAAAGCTCATGCCCCCACCCAAGCTTGGACTGGACCCCCTCCACCCTTTCGAGGCATTGCCTGTACTTCCTACCCTGCCAGGACCCCGCCACTCACTGAGCTCTGCAGTCTGGTGAGGCTTCCTCTCCACCTCACCCTGTAGCCTCGACCCCTCACAATAGCTTCCAGTTCCTTCCCTCTCAACAGACTTCACCTTCTTTCCTCTTCTTTCCAGGGCCCGGCCCCAGACCTCTGTAAATAACACTAAATACAGTCTTCCACTCTGTGGCCGCAACCTGTGTCCCTTGACCCCCCTCCCCTGCTCATTCCTTCTGCCCTCCTCCTCCACCTCTGCTGGCCCAGCCCACTGGCCCTTCCACCCACTTCTTGCTGCTCTTCTTTCCTTCATGGTTTCCAGTGCCCTCACAGCCCCATGCTTCAGCTACTCTTGTCTGGAAAAACTTTAGTCCCAGGTCCCTCATTCCTGGCTCTTCCCCCACACAGGGCCCTTGAAGAAAAAACACAACGCAGACACCACCTCAATCTCCTGGTGTCCTTCTTCCGCTAAGCCCTGAGTATCGCCCATCTGTTCTCGTCTTTGTCCCCAATTAGCTTCTTCACCCGTTTTTCTCCAGGTGACTGGTGAAGATTCACCATTGCTTCTCAGACTCCTACTTGGTTTTCTCTCAAGAAGATGGTGCCTCTTATTTCACTGAGGAAAAAATCAGACTCTCAGTCTTGAACTTCCTCAACCCTCCACCCTACAATCTATAGGTATATGAAGCAGGATGTTAATTAAAGTGGAAGTCTTGGGGGAGGTGCTACAATTGGATAGATGTCTGATATAAGGTGGGCTAGGAGACAGACTGCCCCCTGACCTTGTATATTTCCAAAGTACATGACCAAGAATCCATGATTCCAAACCCCACACCATGGACACGAAAAGATTGAAAAGGAGGAATAGAAAGGGTTTCTTTGGAGAAAGTTGTGCTGTGGGTGCACCCCCCAAAAGACAGAGAAAAGGCAAAGCCTCACCTACACCCCAAAAAAGGGCTTCAAGGAGGCCTCTTGGAAAGCTTAACGTTCAACCCCTGGAGTTTGGTAGCTACCGTGGATTTGTGTCTGACATGCATCTGAGGGACCCAAAGCAAAAGGCAATAGGGCAGAGCACCTTTTACAAATTAAGTCTACCTCTAGTCCCTTCTCATTCGTAGGCAACGGTGACAAGACTTTACTCGATGCCACTGCAGTAAACACCTACACAGAGCGGCGTCACTGCAGCCAAGAAACAGATCCAGAATATGCTTAAGCTAATTTATTTTTTAAAATATTTTTATTGATTTCAGAGAGAATCATCAACGATGAGAAAGAATCATTGATCGGCTGCCTCCTGCACACCCCCTACTGGGGAAAGAGCCCACAATTCGGGCATGTGCCCTGACTGGGAATCAAACCGTTGACCTCCAGGTTCATAGGTCAACGCTCAACCACTGAGCCACGCTGGCCAGGCTATGCTTAAGCTAATTAAAAAAATGATTACTACTTTCTCCGAAAAATTTGTAGATTCAAGTATTTATAACTGCAGACAACCCCTACATGACCCTGGGTAGAAATACTGTTCTACAGGTTAATTCAAATTCTATCTGCCTACTTCTGATGCCTTAATTCTCCCACTCCCTGCCTCTAGACAAAATTGTCTTTTTCAGCTCAAAGCATGCTATTTCTTGCCTTTGCTCATGCTGTTTTATCAACATGGAAGCCATCTCCCATAGGAAGCTCCTTCTAGATTTTGGTCTTAGTAAAAGCACTTTCACTGTGGTCTCCACATTTCCAAGGTCTATCACTATCATTGTATTTACCATATTGTATCATAGTTACCTTTTATTTTTTTAAAATATATTTTATTGATTTTTTTACAGAGAGGAAGGGAGAGGATAGAGAGTTAGAAACATCGATGAGAGAGAAACATCTATCAGCTGCCTCCTGCACACCCCCTTCTGGGGATGTGCCAGCAACCAAGTATGAAATACATGCCCTTGACCAGAATCGAACCTGGGACCTTTCATTCTGCAGGTCAACGCTCTATCCACTGAGCCAAACCGGCCAGGCCATAGTTACTTTTTAAAGTATCTCCATCCACTACTAAACTGCGAGATTTTAAAGCAAGGACTGTGTATGAGTCAGCTCCGTATGTGTGGGATCTATCACAGTGTCTGGCCTATAGTCAGTGCTCACACAATGTTGGGTGAATGAATGAGTCAATAAATGAATAAAATGAATGGTACCTGCCGGTCTGCCAGATCAATCTTGTTCCCCAGTGCCACCATGGGGTAGGACTGCTCAGTTGGAATGATTTTGGCCAAAACATCACCCCGCCAGGTATTCAGAGCTTCAAAGGACTCCAGGTCAGTGACATCAAAAGCCAGGATGCAGCCATCAGAGCCTTTGTAGAAAGTGGACACCATGGAGCGGAATCGCTCCTGTCCACCTGTGTCCCAGATCTGGAGGAAAAGGCAGATGATGAGTGGGGTGTGATGAGTGGCTGAAGGTTTGGCCCCACTGGACACATCAGGAAAAATTTCTATTTCTGGGTAGGGAGCAGGCAGCCCTGGCACAGATGCATGTGGTATCTTGACCCTGTCACCCTTCTACACTGCAGTATCTTGGCACTCACATTTAGCATCCATGAGTACTTTCATATCTGAGCTCTTGTTTTTCCCAGGGCAATCAGAATAGATAATGTTATTCTCATCTGATAGGTTTGGACCTTGGGAATGATTTTCCAAGGCCACTCGCCAAATTTTCCAGGGACCTAAGACTAGAAGTAAGACTCCCCAACTCCTGTACTCGAGCTCATCCTTCTAGATCAGAGATCAGCAAAAAGTTTTTTCTGTAAAGGGTCACAAAGTAAAAATCTTAGGCTTTGCAGACCATACTGTCTGTTGCAACTACTCAACTCTGCTGCTCTAGTGTGAAAGCAGCCATAGACCATTAGTAATCAAGTGGGCCTGACTGTATGCCAACAAAATTTTATTTGCAAAACCAGCTGGTGGACCAGATTTGGTCCATTAGCTGAAGTTTGCTGATGTCAGCTCTAAACCATCCTAGCTCCTCGTACCCATTACTGTGCGTGGCTGCCCAGAGAATGTGGGGGGATTTTCAGGTATGACTGGTGAAGAGGGGAAAAGAAGGCAGCTCACCTGTAGCTTCAAAGTTGTGTCATTCAGGATGATAATCTTGGAGAGGATACTGGCCCCTAGCGTGGTCTGATAATCCTCAAAAAAGGTCTTGTGCACATATTGGTGGAGGAGGGAGGTCTTGCCTACACTGAGGAAAAACCCCAGACACATGTGAACACGGACATCCACACCATTCTCAAAATCTTACCAAGCCCCTCTCGCCACCGTCTCTTCCCGAGATTCTGAATTTCTAACATTTGTGGTCCAAGGACCAAACACTTTGAGTAGCAAGGCACTAGGAAACGGTTTCTAGAAATAGGAACCAGTCAAAGTGAGCCGAGAGGTTGAAGAGAGCTGGGTGCCAAGGTCAGGTCTTTAAAGCAAAGGCCATGTCTTTCCTGTAGGTGGCAGGAGGCGGGAAGGCAGATAGATGCTAAGTGTCCTGTTACCACAGAGTTTGGGTCAGGAACCAGGTAGCCTGATTCCCAGCCTCTTTCTCCTACTGAGCTCCCTTCCTTGGGTGGGATGCCCTCCCTAGTGCCACCTTGAATCAGAAGGGTACCCATCGGAGGTGGAAACACAGTCAGGAGGTCTCTCTACCTTTGGCTAGGGGCCTCATTCCAACCTCAGACCCCAAGCGGAGCTTGGCTTCACTCACCCCAGGGCTCCGACGATGATGAGCTTCAAATCCACCTTCTTCCGGGGATTCATGGAGGGGCTTCAGAGCCTGTAGGAAGACAGAAGTCACCCACATGCTGGCCAGAGTCCCCTGTGGCTTTTGTCACTGAGGCTGGCCTCTACTTCCTTCTTTTAGGTGTGCAGGTCAACTGGCCTTGGCCTAGGACTTGGGTGAGGTTGAAAGGTGGATGACTCAGCAACCCATACACACATTCCCCCTCACTTCCTCTGGGGGCTTCCCCAAGGTTGGGAAGGTGGAGACCCCACAGGACAGTTGCATCTCTCACCTTTTAGCTCTACCAACTCTGATCTCGGAGGCAGCCTGGAGTGCCAGGAAGGCGGGAGGCATTGAACAGAGGCCTCACAGACGGTCAAGCCTGGAGCCAGGGATGGAGGGCAGTATGGGAAGAGGAGATGGGGGCAGGACAAGGGGTCCATTGTCAGGACTACCCAAGAGGCTTTGGATGAAAGAGTGCCCCTCCCCCAGCCCAAGGTGTTGCCACAATTGCAGAATCAAAGGCTCTTCTTTGAGGCGGCTGGTGGGATTGTAATTGGTACATGTTTCTGGAAAGCCACTTGGCAGCTAGTGAGAGTCTTAAACATGTCCCTGCCCTCCACTTACTAGGAATTTGTCTAAGGAAATAAATCCGAATGCAGACGAAGACGTTTGTTCAAGAATGTCCTTCAGAGGATTATTCATAAATATCCAATAGTAAAGAAGTGGTTAAATAAATTATGGCACACAATGAGATAGGGACAGAGATAGAATATTGGAAACCAGCTATAATTGTAAGAAATATTAATCATGCTCAGTTAACCGTATTGTTTTGTTTTCTTTAAAGAAGGCATGTTCTAACCTGGCTGGATGTTGCACGGGGATCTGGGAGCTCGCCTGGAAATGTGACCTATCCTCTCCATCCGGGAACTGCCTATTGTCATGGGAAGATTAATAATCTTGTTGCAGAAACCAGAGCTGCCAGCTCTTTGAAGACCCCCAGCCTTTGCATTCCCCCAGCCTGCATTATCTGTAAACTTCCCATTTGGCATACCCTTTTGCCTACTTTCCCATGTAATCTTCATCCTTCTACCCAATATAAGCAGCTGGCTTACAGTGGGGGGCAGAGCAGATTTGTGAGGATGACCTGCTGCTCTCCCACACTGCCGGCAGTATTGGACTTAACGCTCATATATGATTCAACCCTGTCTCTGCTGAAATAGCTCACGTAATGACAGGCAGCCTAGACCCATTGATTGTCTGGTTATTAAAATGACATTTTTGAGCATATTATAATAATGTGAGAAAGTGGTGCCCTAAGATCTAGATACAAAACTAAACTGTACATGCAATACCACTCCAAATATTAAAATGAGTTCCTACTTACATAGCAAAAGTTCTGGAACAAGATATATAAAAACTTAAGTATTTAATTCTGAGTGGTGGGAAATTATATGATTTTAATTTTGTTTTGTATGCTTTTCAGTATGCTCCAATTTCTTTACAATAAACATGTCAAACATGTATTGTTCCTATAAGAGAAAAGGACTTGTGTGTGCGCTTGTATGTGAGACACACACACACACACACACACACACACACACAGAGTGGTCAGATTATTATGATCTCTGAATGCATAATAATCTGGCCACTCAGTATATTTACCTTTTTCTTAGACCACATTCTACTTGCTAAGACCATTATCTTCCCCCTCCAGACTCACCCAGAAAATTCTCTGCCCTAAAAAAGCACTCCTAGAGTCCTTTAAAACCTCTGATTTCCCAGAAGACGTTCTGACCTCCCGGGAGGGCCCGAGAGGGACCCTCATATGGGGAGAGGAATGGCGTGAGCCGTTGCCTCACCTGCGGAAAGTGAACCTTTCCCAGGTCTGAGTTTGGTATCTGTGGGCGACATGGCGCCCCAGGATGGAGCCGGCGAAGTGTGGCTGGCATGGCGGTGCGGGGCCCCCTGGCGGCGTTGAGTCGGAGGGGGGGCTCCCGCGGGGCTCAGTCTGCGCGTTGGAGCGCGGCTGGGCAGTGGTGGCCTCGCTCGGGGAGCAGGCACCTGGGTTAATTTGCTGGCTGCCTGGGAAGTGGAGCCGGGAAGCCGCTGGGGCGACCCGCGCTTTCTCCTCGGGGGCTGCCTGAGTAGTGTGGCTGGGGTGGCTAAAGCAGCCTCGCCCCAGGGGCCTGGGCCATAGGGGCCTGGGCCAGCGTAGAGACATTGGTCCCTGGAGACATCAGGTGCCGGAGAAGAGCTCAAGGGCAAATCTCTGTACTCAGTAAAGAGAAAAGGCCAGTTCAAAGCGAGTGCGCATAGTTTTGGGCTGTGCTTAAAAACACTTTTCTGGGTACAGAATAAGTTTTAAAAGTGGTGGAGATAAATTAAAACTGGTTTCCCAAGTCATTGTAAGTAGCTTTTGAAATTTCCCCGCCATGAGGCGGAAACTAGATGGTAATGGTAACAAGTTTATGTGAATGGTGGTGAATGGCCCTGAATGGCCAGGAGTCTTTAGGTAAAGAATGTGTTCATTTGCATTTGAATGCTGCTCCAGCTTCAGGGAGTGGCAGGTCACAATGGTTAGTCTTCCTTGTCATTGGTATCAGCTAAGCAGAGTCATATAGCTACTTAAGTATGAATTGTGATTGACCTATGATTTTCTGACATTGTCTTAAATCCTAGTAAACTGCCTCTGGTGTGGAGAGGTCTAGGGGAGGCCGGAGAGCGCAAGACTATTAGCTCTCCTACAAAGAGATTATTCAGTGCTTTGTTTGAACTTCAGAAAAAAATTTTGAGATCTGAAAAAACTGTATGATTAGATCTGTTGCTGAAACTTTACCCTAAATAAGCAGGATGTATTAGAAATGTAATGTTATTAATCTAAGAAATGCCAAATTTATTTGACTTGCCAGCTTTAAAAGTTCAAAGTATAAATTGAATTAGGAAAAGTTAATTGCAGTAACTAGATGCCTAGAATATGGCAGGCTAAACTGTATTATATATGTTAAGAATAAGCAGTAATGATCTAAGATCTCAAGGATTGATTTATTCTCATTTGTCAGATGAAAAAGTATGTAATGCTTACACTTAAAAAATTATTTTAAGTCAGTGATGCAGTATTTTTTTAAGTCAGGTTTTCTAAAGTAATATTTAATGTAACATATGAAACTTTTATATTTGATTTGTTTTGTTTTGCTTTTCTCATATGCCATTGTTATTAAATTTGGGCTTGTACCTGCATCTTGTATTTTGTTTAAACTTTGGGAATAATTTTTGGTTTCAGTCATGTGTATCTACTTTATAGATTTAAGTAGACTTCATCACAAAGGTTTATAATTTATTTAAAATTGTGTTAAAACAATGTGAAAACAATTATTTGTATGATTAACCCCCCGAGACTGCTTGGACAATTTTCACCGATGTTCTGCAGTGGGGAGTAGAGGGGCTTAGAAATGTATTGATAGATAAATCTATATCTGTAGGGAAAATGTGACATTTTACATTTCAGGTGGCTGTTAGAGGCCTGGGAACAGGTACTGGACCTGCTCCCTCCTCCCTTGCCTTTTAAAATTTGAGGCATGGTTATGTATTTTTGGAAGATAAGATTTTTATAGAAATTATAAAGAGTATGTCCTGACAGGTTAGCTAGGAGAGGCAAGCCTTTTAGTTTCCTGATGGGCATGGGGGCACCCTATTTAGTCTTGAGAGAGCCAATAGGACCCGTACATCAGCCCAGGAAGCCACCGGACAAACTGCCTGTTTTCCTTGGACATCAAGAAGGATTGTGATCCTCGGAAGGAACACATACTGGGGGAATGCAGCTGTTGAACTGGTCCAAAGTAGAACAACGGATCTTTGAGGAGCTAAAGAAGGCTCTCATCTCAGCAGCTGCCCTAGCCTTGCCGGACGACGCGGAGCCCTTCCACCCCTACGTGAGTGAGGTAAGAGACATTGCCAAAGGGGTTCTCACTCAGACTCTAGGTACCTGGAAGAGACCTGTTGCCTATCTGTCTAAGAGACTGGACCCTGTGGCAGCCACAGCATTGTTGGTGAAGGAGGCAGATAAGTGGACTCTGGACCAGGAGCTAACCTGGATGGGCCAGGCTTTTCTCCTGGACCAGCCCTGTGTCCAGATTCAGAAAACTCTGGCCATCAACCCTGCCAGCCTGCTTCCAGATGATGATAATGGAACCCATTCATGACTGCACAGAGGTAACAGACGACAAGGTACTGTTCACGGATGGGAGCAGTTATGTTCAGGATGGGACCTGATATGCAGGGGCAGTGGTAGTCACCCTGGACCACACCATTTGGGCACAGTTCCAGAATTTTTGGCCTTAATCCAGGCCCTTTGATGGAGACACTGCCATCCACAAAGAAAAGAGGGGTACCAACTGCAGCCAGAAGGAATTGGCTGACCAGAAGCAAGCCCCTGAAGGACCAGATGGTTGATAGACCCTCCAGATGACAAGACTGTTGGTCCCAGAGGCTCTAGGTCAGAGTTGCCCGGTGACACCAGGTTAAGTGTCACCAAGACTTCTGAACTTCTGTGAGGCAGAGTTGCTAGAAGTACTGTCTGTGCACAGGTAAATGCTAAGCAAGGTAAGGGGATCCCCCCTGGGAATTCAGGTCCCAGGGAACCTCCCCAGGAGAGCATTGGTAGGTGGATTTCAGAGATTAAACCACCAGCATTAAGGTCTAGTTTTTATAGACACTTCAGACTAGGTTGAGGTATACCCCACTATCAGATAACAGCCCTCCCCTTGGTAGCTAAGGTATCTCATAGCTCTAGCCTTAGGACAGGCGAGACTCTTGAAAAGGGGGTTTAACTAAATGTGTCTTAGATTCGGTGAAAATTGGACCAACCCCCTGTCCTTTGCCCTCTTGAGGGCCAGGTGTACCCCTTATTGGGACAAGTTTCCCCTTTTTGGGAGGGGATCATGTATGGTAACCATTTCCTTGCTCAAGTCCTTACAGGCTCTGCAGTTTGCTTGTTCCAGATGCACTGCCAGTGCCCACCGCAGACCCTGTAGCCCCGGATCTCAATGTGGGTA